CCCATTTGTATGCGTGCACGCAGGCGTGTGTGTTGTTGATGTTGGACAACAATTGATCCATCTTTGTTGATGTTATGCATGTTTGTTCAAATAATGGGAATCAGTTTGAAATGCACGTTGAAAAAGTTCATATAACCCCCACAACTATCAATTTTGGGCCACATTACCCCCCCACGTCTAAAACCGGGATCTTAATCCCCTGAGCTTTCACAAACAAGTCAAAACACCCCCTGCGGCCCATTTTAGTGGTTTTAGAGGGCGGTTTTGCCAACGTGGCGCCTGACGCGTGGGACCGGCATGCCAGGTAGGATCTGGGAGGGTTGGGTGCGGTGTAAATCCCCCCTTGCGCCTCAAACCGGTTCGACCCAGCCAGCCTCTTCGTCTGCTTCGACCCCCAGCCTCTTCGTCTTCGCCGCCCCCTCAGTTCTCTCTCCCCGACGACGACGGCGGCAGGAGGGACGGCGATCGGCGACATGAACTGAGCGCCCCGAGCCGACGGCACGTGCAGGTTTGTAAACGCATCTGATTTTGTCTGAGAAGTGAACCACCATGTGTTCGATTTCTCTGTTCTAGTTAGGGTTTTGGGGGTTTTGGGGGATTTCAAAATCAACCCAGATGGTCGTCTTCTTGTTGTTTTCATGCATTCAGCGGTCCATGTGGTTAGTGCGGTCGTGCTGGATAGCCATGGTTTAGGGTTCGTTGATTTATGGCTGATTTGGTTTGAACTGAACTGAAAGGGGGGATTTTGATTCAGAGATATTTTTTTTCATAGGTTTGAGCCATGGATCCGCTGGACTATCTCTGCATCAGGTTTCATTTCAGAGGACAGTTTGAACATGATGGAACAGAGTGGCAGTATGTGAATGGAAGTCAAGGCCTTTCAACAGTACAACACCACAAAATTAGCCTTGAAGAACTGAAGAAAAAACTTGCAGAGCATGTGCCTTGTTCAGATAAGCAACTGCAGGAAACAAATTTACATTGGAAGTTCCCTGGGATGATTAGAGATGGCCAAATGAATAGTGCCCTGGTGATGTTGCATGACAAAAAATCTGTCCTGGAGATGGCCAAACATGTCACTGATGCAGGGGTCATGGACATTTATGCTAACATTCCTGATGATTTTGTAGCACAAGAAGCTAGTGAATGGGAGGAAGAATATGCAGCAGATATAGGGGAAGGTAATTGTGATGTTGATTCAGAGGAGGAGGAGATGCACCAAGTGCCAGAACAGGAGCAGCAGCAAGTTTCAGAGGATAATAGACAACAGGAAAGACGGGAGATGCATCAAATGGCATATAATTTAGAGGAGGAGGAGATGCACCAAGTGCCAGAACAGGAGCAGCGGCAAGAACACCAACCAGATTGGCAGTGGTCAAACAATTTCTACCAGTCAGCCAGTAATCGTAAGTTACCAGTTAACAGAGGTCCCATACAAAATCATGACAGAGGAAAATCAGTTCAAAATGAGGATAGTGGTATTGATAGTTCAACATCTAATAGTGACTATGTTGTCCCTCCAGCAGAGAGTAATAGTTCAGCATCTGATGACGAAGTGTTGGAGTTGAGAAAATATGCAAAAGAGTTGAAGCAGAAAGTGAGAAAGAAGATGCTGAGAGAAGATGAGGGGAAATCTTGCAAAGTGCCTGATGATTTTGTTGTGCCTGAAACAGGTAAGCTAGATGATTCAGATGGAGAAGGCACACCACATTTTGATAGTGATGATGATCTGTCATATGATGAGGGCAGTGATGGAGAGGTCACTGAAGTGAGGAGGAGGAAGACAACACACAGAGTGTTTGATGGCACTAGTGAGAAACCTGAATTTGCTGTTGGAATGGCGACAGTAGGGAATCCAAGCAGGCTTTGGTTAAATATGGGCCAGTTAATTTCCACCACCTAAGATTCCCTAAAGATGAGAAGAAGAGGGTCAGTGCACAGTGCTCTTGGCCTGGATGTCCTTGGAGCATCTATGGATCAATTAGCAGCAGGTCTGATTGGCTACAAGTTGTGAGGTACAACAATGAGCACACATGCATTCCTAGGAGGGACAACAAGCTGGTTACTAGCACAGTTATTGCAAAAAAATATTTCAGGCAGATTAGGGACAATCCTACTTGGAGGGTGGAGAAAATGCAAGAGGCAGTACTTGAGGATTTGCTAGCTGATGTGAATCTCTCAAAGTGCAAAAGGGCTAAAAAGCTTGTCATGGCAAAGCTCACTGATATGACCAATGGTGAGTACTCTAGAGTGTTTGACTACCACCTAGAATTAGTTAGAAGCAATCCAGGGAGCACTGTAGCTGTTTGTTTAGATCCAGACATTCATGACAAGCCAGTCTTTCAGAGAATGTATGTGTGCCTTGAGGGTTGCAAAAAAGGGTTTCTAGCTGGATGCAGAAGAGTGGTGGGATTAGATGGCTGCTTTCTGAAAGGGGCAGTAACAAGGCAAATTTTGTCTGCTATTGGCAGAGATGCTAATAATCAGATGTACCCACTTGCTTGGGCCACAGTTGAGGTTGAAAGCTATGAGTCATGGTATTGGTTTCTCTCACTTCTCCAAAAGGACCTACAGATAAGCAATCATGGTGATGGATGGGTTTTCTTATCTGATCAACAGAAGGTATGTGCTGAATGTTTTCATATGTTCATGGTAGGTAGAGTCATGTTAGCTGGGCTCTTTATGGTCGACTCATCGGCCTCGACTGTACATGCATGTCAGGTAGAGTCATGTTAGGTGGGCTCTTTATGGTCGATTATGGTCGACTCATTGTTCGTCTTCTCATTGCTATTAAACTGCAGGGTCTTATCAGGTCTGTTAATGAAATTATTCCTGAAGCGGAGCACAGAATGTGTGCCAGACATATATATGCAAATTGGAGGAAGCAACATAGGGAGAAGAAATTGCAGAAAATGTTTTGGGCATGTGCCAAGTCCTTTGATAGGAGCCAGTTCAACTACAACAAAGCCAAATTAGCACAGAAAAGTCCAGAAGGAGCTAGAGATATTATGAACACTGCACCAGAACACTGGAGTAGAGCATACTTCAAACTAGGCTCATGGTGTGATTCAGTTGAGAATAATATGTGTGAATCATTCAACAATGCAATTATGAGGTCAAGGTTTTACCCTGTCATCACATCACATGAGATCATTAGAAAGAAGATGATGGCACGGATACAAGAAAACAGGGGCAAATCAGCAACATGGAGTGGAACCATTTGCCCAAACATTTTCAAGAAGTTGAAGTTGAACATCAAGAGGTCAACTAATTGCCAGGTGCTTTGGAATGGAAAAGAAGGTTTTGAAGTACAAGAAGGAGAACATAGGAGGTACACAGTCAACTTGGAAAAGTGGCAGTGCTCTTGCAGATACTGGGAACTATCAGGTTTGCCTTGCAGCCATGCCATAAGTGCAATCTACACTTGTGGCAAAAAGGTAGATGATTTCATTGCACCATGCTATCTTATCAGTGAGTACAACAAGATATATGATCATGTTTTGCAACCAGTTGAGGGGAAAGAGAATTGGCCAGTATCAGAAAATCCAAAGCCACATCCACCTCCTCAGAGGGTAATGCCAGGAAGAAAGAAGACAAAAAGAAGAAAAGAGGAGGGTGAAGAAATTAAAAATGGAAAGCTGACAAAGAAGGGCTGTAGAATAACATGCTCTTTATGTGGAAATTTTGATCATAACAAAAGGAAATGTCTTCAGAATCCAGAAGCTGGAAAGAAAGCCAATGGGAGCTACACCAGAGCAGCAAAAAGAATAAGGAAAAGGCAGCAAAAGGAAAGCACTGAGGTGGTATCTTCTCCTTGTCATGTTTCTCTTTCTTTCTTCACAATATTTACTAATTTACTTTTCTTTTTCATTTCTTAGATGGCACAGGAACAATCATCAAGGAAGAAGAAGCAACAGTGTCTAGTGGCACCACCTCCAGGAGCAACATCTTCTCAGCCAGCTCCTACAACTCAAACATCACATGCTCCAGCACAGCAGAGACAAGTTCGCAAAGGAAAGAAGAGTACAAAGAAAACAACACCAGGAACATCTTCTCAGCCAAGAGCATCTTCTCAGCCAAGAACATCTCAGCCAAGAGCATCTTCACATCCAGCAACATCTCAGCTAGGAGCATCTTCACATCCAGCAACATCTTTTCAGCCAAGAACATCTTGTCAATCAAGAACATCTTCTCAGCCAGGAGCATCTTCACAATCAGGAGCATTTTCTCAAGTGCCACGGAATGACAGGCTCTATTGGCTTATAACTGGAACTGTTAGAAAGTGAAACAAATGATTGGCATTGATGTGTAACATCAGCTATTAAGTATGTGCTTTTGTTGATGTAAAGCATCAGAAGAAAATCATGTCTGGATAGTTAAGACTTCAGAGCTAAGCTATTTTGTGAACTGCTGTTATGTCAGACTATATAGTGAGAAGTACTATTTATATTCATGTGCAATGCATCTTTGTTGCATAGTTTTGTCATTACCAAACTGTACATTGCTGTCAGAACATTGTACATTCAGGGGAAATGCTGTCCAACTGCATTGGGGGCGCAGGGGGGATTTAAAACGCACCCAGCCCTCCCAGATCCTACCTGGCATCCTGGTACCACGCGTCAGATGCCACGTTGGCAAAACCGCCCTCTGAAACCACTAAAATGGGCCGCAGGGGGTGTTTTGACTTGTTTGTGAAAGTTCAGGGGATTAAGATTCCGGTTTTAGACGTGGGGGGTAATTGGCCCAAAATTGATAGTTGTGGGGGTTATATGAACTTTTTTCATGCACGTTCGTTCAAATGTTATGCATGATGTTTTTTTCCTCAGTAAGAATAAAATAATCAATTAATCATGACACAATTACAGTCCAATGGCGTTTTCATTAGCCAACTTTATAATAAAAAACTAGACCTAAACACAATACTAGCTCCAGCCGGAATGCTCCATGGCGCGGAGTACGAGATATGCTCTAGCTTCTACGAACGGAGAAACTGCTCCGTGCTATGGTACACTGTTCCGTGTACCGGCCGTCCCGCCTCCCGCGGGCGCTTCAAGCTGCTCCCCGCTATCGCTATGGTACGCCGTCCCGTGTACCGGCCGTCCCACGAGCACTTCAAGGTACTGAGGCACCGGTGGCATCTCCAAGTCCGTCAGCCCCTCTAGCACCTGCACCACCTCCCCCATCGTCGGCCGCGTGTCGACGTCGCGCTGGATGCACCAGCTGGCGACCTTGCACACCCTCCTCATCTCCTCGGCGTTCGCGTCGCCTTCCAGCTCGGGATCGAGCAACGTCATCACGCCCCCCTCTGCCAGCTTCCTCGCGACCAGCAACGGGAAGAAGGTCGTCGTCGGGTGCTCCTCCGCACCGTCCGCGTCTGCCGTCGACGACACCACGGATCGCCTCTCCCCTTGCTCGATGTTCCGCCTCCCGGACACGATCTCGAAGAGCATCATCCCGTAGCTAAACACGTCCGCCTTGGCCGTGATGGCCTCGCCGCTGATCCACTCCGGCGCCAGGTACCCAACGGTGCCGCGCATGGTGGTGAGCACCCGGCTGAAGTCCCGGCCGACGAGCTTGGCGAGCCCGAAGTCGGCCACCTTGGCGCCGAAGGAGGCGTCGAGGAGGATGTTCTCGGGCTTGACGTCGCAGTGGATGATGCAGTCACGGCACTTGTCGTGGAGGTAGGCGAGCCCCTTGGCGACGCCGAGCGCGACCTGGAACCGCACCTGCCAGCTGAGGACGTAGAAGGTCTTGCGGAAGAGGTGCCGGTCGAGCGAGCCGTTGGGCATGTACTCGTAGACAAGCAGCTTCCGGTCGCCGCCGCCGGAGCAGAAGCCGAGCATGCGGATGAGGTTGACGTGCTGGACGGTGCCCAGCGTGCTCACCTCCGCGCGGAACTGCTTCTCGCCTTGCCGGAGCCCCTCCAGCTTCTTGACGGCCACGACGGTGCGGTCGGAAAACTGGCCCTTGAACACCGACCCGAAGGCGCCGGCGCCGATCTTGTCGGTGAAGTTCTTAGTCAGGGACTGCAGGTCGCTGTACTTGTAGCTCACGCAGCCATCGCCGGCGGCGAGACCGCTCAGTATCGTCGCTCTTCTCCTCTTCATCGTTCCTCTTATCGTACGAACGAGAAGAATGGCTGCGGCGATCACGAAGCACGTGATGCCGAGTGCCACGGCGGCGACCTTGATGTCCCTCCATACGTGGCTTCGCGCGCCTGGGAGCTCCGACGCAGCGAGACGGAGGTACAGGCTTCCGGCGCTGGCCTGGTTGTCGAGGACACCGTTTTGTAAGTTGAACAGATCATTGTGCCACAAGAAGCAGCTGCCGTTGTACGCGTAGGCGGAGCATGTGCAGTCCCCAAGACACGCGCGTTGGCAGTCGCCGGAGCTTGCGGCTCCCGCCATTCGGCCATCGTCAGGGAGCCTCATGCGGTCGATGCGGAGGAACTTGTCCTGCTCCACGTTCTTCAAGCCGTCCGACGGGCCACTGCTGTTCTTACTGCACTGAAGCTGGGTGTTGCGCACGCAACCGCCGATGTAGTCGCCGAGGCCCCAGCTCGCCGGACTTTGCGGGTTGAATCCCCGGGCGCAGTCGCACGCCGTGGACGAGCCCTCGGTGCACACGCCGAACGCGCCGCAGCCGCGAGGCACGTCGCACCGGGCCTTGGGCTCGGCGTAGACCAGATTCCATCCCTGCGTGGCCTCCACCCAGAACCACCCCTTGACCTGCCCCGACACGTCCATGACGAACCGATACACCGTCGTGTTCACGGCGAAGTTATACGTGAAGTAGCTCTCGTCGTCGTTGTCCACAAAGTTGAAGCTATACCCGGAGCCGCCGCTCGACGCGGCGACCTCCGGCGCCCCGGTAAAGTACTTGCCTGTCCAGTTGCCGGTGGCCCAGTACACATGGGTGCCATTCGACAGCAGCAAGTACTGCTTCGCCCCGGACGGGTCGAGCTGGAGGGCGTACATCCCCGGCGCGGGGTCGCCGCGCGCCCTCCACGAGGCCATGGCCTGGATGACGCCGGTGCGCTTGTCGCGCCTGAGCTTCCCGCCTGGAAGCCACGTGTCCGTGATGTGGTCGAAGCTCTGCCACAGCACTGCGGAGGCGTTGGACGCGGGCGTGAGCACGAGGTTCCCGGAGTCGTGGAGAACGGCGACCGTGTCACTGGCATTGGCGACGCCGCTGGTGCTGGCGTTCGTTGACCAGACAATCGAGCCGGCGCCGTCGAACAGTGCGAGGTTGCCGTCGGGCGCGATGGCGAGCCGCGACGTGTTGGAGACCGGCGTCTCGCGGTTGGCCACCCAGACCGGCGTGTGCACCGATATCTTGTGGTACCAGATGCCGGCGTACCAGCTGCCGTCGGCTGCTCCGTCTGCCAGAAGAAAAACAGAGCAGAAACATCTCACACCACTGGCCACCATGAACTTACACTGGCCGTCGTCAAGCCATGCGCACATGTAGCGTGCTCTCACCTGGGTGGAAGAGTCCCAAGGCGAACTTGCCGCCGGGAGAGACCAGCTTCTGGTCGCCGGAGAGCGGACGGCCCGCGGCCACGATGTCCGCGTCCGCCGCGCGCACGACGCCCACGCAGAGCAGCACGACGAGCACACCCAGAGGAAGCGCTCCAGCTGCCATCTCGTATTCTCGTTCCCTTGCTGCCGCGAAGTTGATCGTCTTGAACCTGTGCCCTCCGTGCCTCCCCTCATTTCTGTGCAGCGGCACCGGTTATTTGTACTTGCAGGGGGAGCGTTCGCGCGCGGAGGAAGACGAACACGTACTTGATCGACCGCAGTCACGCAGTAGTCTATCCCTTCCCGGGCGGCACGGCCGTGCGTCCACATCAGTGAAGCTGTCAACCACAGAAACTGTTGCAGGCTCTGTTGTTTCTAGCGGGGGAACGAGTCGCGGAATTGACCGGCGAAGAGAATTCGGCGTCGACCTGAGGAATTCAGGACGGGGCGGCGGGGGCGTGGAGTGAGGTTGGTGGCGAAGATGAAAGTTCCGTGGGTGGATGTGTGATGTACGGGTCTCTTCGAAGGTAGAGGTAGGACTGAACATTCCAGCACTTTTGTCTGACCACAAAATGATTGACTGAGCTCGGGTCAAGAAATCCTAGGCAAAAACGTTGACAGGGGCTATGTGTTTATTCTTGATCAAAGGTAGACGGCTGTAGCCGACGGCTACACCACTAGTAAAAGAAGTGCGTCCTCAATTCATATCAGTACTAGTGATATTATATGCGCGTTCGCTATTTTTCATTTGCCTGAGTTTCCTTTAGATTGTGTTAGACTCTCTTTCTGCTTGGACATGTTCTTCAACTTGTGCTGCTTGCCTGCTTGTCATGCGAGAAAAGTGATTCTCCCATGCATGGAAGGTCCGGTGCATGCATCTGTGGTTGGTTATGCTGGAGATTCGAGTGCATGCAAATTATACTTCTGTCATATACGTATAGACTATACCGTTCACATTAATATAGTATCGTATCATGTTAGTCCACTTAATGCCATGCATGCGTCTCTCTCTTTGCTGCTCACATCAGACTATAATATACTCCCTCCATTCCTATATATAGATCTTTAGAGAGATTCCACTATGAACCACATACAGATGTATGTAGATATATTTTAGAGTGTAGATTCATCCATTTTACTCCGTGTATAGTCCATACTGAAATATCTATAAAGACTTATATTTAGAAATGGAGGGAGTAACATCGTATCATGTCAGTCCACTTAATGCCATGCATGCGTCTCTCTCTTTGCTGCTCACATCAGACTATAACGCATGCATGTCTGACAACATCTCCTCTCTCAAAATCCATCATTTTTAGTTTCCTTTACAAAATTTACATTGCTCATATCTTTAAAACCAAAACTCCTTTTTTGGAAGTTTTTATATATTTGAACTCATCGCATCAAGACCTTCAGAACAAGATCAATCTTTGATAGATTCTAAACACGTTAAAATTTCAATGTTTTGATCACTTTTTAGTAAATCTATTTCACTAATTAGAATTTTTTTAATGATTAAACCAGTTTTGAAATGAATCTTTAATGAGTGAAATACAAATAAAAAATGAGTGAAATTATTTCGTTGAAATTAGTGAAATTGTTTTTCTGAATAAAGAAAACTTAGTTTTTTCTAAATGAGTAAAAGGAGTGTTTGGAATGAGTAAAATCAACATTTTTCAATAAGTGATTATTTTAAAAGGGTGACTTTTTTAAATGAGTCAAATTAGTTTTTTAAATGAAATGTCACAACACAACTCTAAACACAAATTCAAACATAAAGCTTTATATTACAAGCCAGAGCCACGAAGGCTCGAATACATAAGTCAGCGGAAGCAATAACATCTGAGTACAGGCATAAGTAAACAAGTCTGCCTTAATAAGTCTAGCAAAACAAGGACATCTAATCAAAAAGGCGACGGCCTCCTGCCTGGGGCCTCCTATCTACTCCTGGTCGTCGGTATTCCAATGAAAAGATTGAAAGTTTTTGGTAGTTATAGAATTCTCGTACTTCTTCAACTCGAATACCAAAAGGAAGAAAAAAATAGGTCTCCATGTAGTAGGAGGCTCCGTCGGGGTAGTAGTAGTCATCGTCGGGATCAGCTGGCTCCTAGGCTCCGTCATCTGATCGCAACAATCGAGTAGAGGGGAAATGAGGTAGCAAAGCAACCATGAGTACTCATCCAAAGTACTCGGAAGACTTACATCAGATCTATGCTAAGTATGCATCGATATCAAAGGAATGAGGCTATATCTTTGGACTATACTACATAAATGTCAGAATAGAAGGGAAAGCCTAGCCTATCGAAGACTAGCACCTTGCAGCGTCTTACAACATTAGAAGAGTGCAGATTAGCATATCATAAAGTAACAAGTATATTTCAGTAACGCCCAGAGATCCTTCCTTGACTTCCTGCGAGAAAGCGATCCTAGAGCCATCATATCCATTTAGTGTCTCAAGTATCCAATTCTAGTTGTAGTAGATCGGGATACAACTCCGAGCATCCGTTAACATGGACCATCTATTAGAATATATATACTTCCCTGCAGGGGTGCACCAACTTACTCAACACGCTCGATTAACTCCAGTCAGACACACTTTTGGGTCATGTCTGGCCTCGGCTGATCGACACATCGTAGTCCTACCTAGGCTCAACAGAGAGGCCAACATGCTGGTCTACATCCTAAATGCGAAGGGGTCATGGGCCAATCGTCCTTTGCAATCCTACGCATTGTGGATACGGCCTGGAGCAGACCCACCCCCTTATACAAGCGCAGGTGGTTACCGTCCAACCGGGCACGTGATGCTCAATTGCTGACGCCAGTGACTTTTCAGAAGAATCGCATGACGTCGAGTGCCCATACTTATTCCCGCATGGTGGTTAGTGCAAAAAGGCAAGAGGCCTACTCAGATCACATATCCAAACCCGTTATTGTATTGGGAGCTCGCGGAGACGATCAGTGATCCCGTCGCCCCGTCTCGAGGACTTACGACAAGGGTCAGTCCCATCCCTCTCTAGGGTGGTCTACCTGCCCAATCATGCCTCGTAATTATCTCGCGGGTACCCTCCAGGTCAACCAGACTCACAAGATACTGTCGAGAACTCAGGTCCACCTCTACTGCGGTGGTACCGCCTGTCCCTTCAGTCCCACATCAACAGTAAAAGGGCAACAGGTAAAGGTAACAGTGTGTCCATGCCATCAAGGGGGAAATCCGAGGAATCACCCTCGATGGATTCCCACTTGATGTAACCGTCAAGGTGAACTTGGAGGAATCACCCTGGATAGGTTCACACTTGAGGGGCTGCACGACAGAGGCATCATCGAAGGTGGTGAAAAAGGAATCACCCTCGGTATCCCACAACCAACTAGCTATGCTACACATATATCATCAAGAGTGAGGTAGGCGGTATCACTCTCGGCACTCAATAGTAGCGCTGAAGAGTCGTACAACTAAGGGGGTGTGCGGTGATGTGTCGGTCTCAGCATGTCGATCACCTGGATCAAATCTTCCGGCAACAAAGCGGGGCAAAAAGGACAATGGTGAGGGGTCACTGGTGGATCACCAACCGACCTATACTAAGCATATAGGACAACAGGTAAAGTAATAATAGCGGGTTAAAAAGCAGGCTATGCATCCGAATAGGAGTTATCGAACAATAGTAGAAAAATCTAATGCAAGCATGAGAGAGAAAGAATGGGCGATATAGGAATGATCAAAGGGGTTTTGCTTTCCTGGAAGCTCTATAGAAGGAAGCTGATCGTCGGTGACGTAGTTGATCATAGGGGCATGGGCAGCGGTCTTGGGGTCTACCAGGGAAGAAGAGGGGGAAGAAATAGTAAATACAAAGCACTCAGATGCCATACAATGCATGACATGGTGATATGCTATGTTAGGGGCGACGTAATGCAGTGCTAGGTGTTATAGACGGAGCGGGAAGATATTCGGAAATATTTTCCTGCCTCCATGCATTTATTGGTCAAATGACCCGGAGGGGAAGATTCCATGTTCGCTGTGTTAGAGGCATGTGGCATGTACGTGGATGGCATATTCAGATTTGTCTCATTTTTGATTATTTTTCATATATAAGTTATTTTTATCTGACTTATGGTTTATTTTCTACGATCTTACAAAGATTAAATGATTTTCTAGAATTATTACTAATTCGATTTTTTTAAAATTAAAATGCTATGTACACCAGTGAAGTGCACACAACAATGAAGACAATGGCTGACAGTGGGTCCCAATTGACTGCCCAGTCAGCAATCAACTGGAGAGTTTGACTCGTCAAAGGGGCCCAGGGGGGCCCATCTGTCATAGGCTTGGATGTATTTAATCCAATTGATTTTTTTAACTACGTGTAGGGTTCACATGCCTTAGGCACTACTCCTAACCACTAATTAGCCTAACTACTAATTATCTAACTATCCTAAACTGGGATCATCACATTTCACAATCGCCCTCTAGGGTTGCGAACCCAACCCTCAACTCGGCCCTGCGTCGCCTCCCAGGGGCGGCTCGGGCGGAACCCTACCCACCGCCGCCGCCACCCCCTCTTCCTCACTCCCCCCTCGCCACCGTCGGTGCACGTCGGCGGGCAAAGCCTGTTGGCGGCCAGCAGTGGCGGGATCTGGCTCACGCGCGCTCGCATTGGCCGGGTGTTCCCCTTGCGGTGGTGGAAGATGTGGTGTTGTTGACTGCGAGATCTAGAGTTGGTGTGACGGCACACGATGGAGCTTCACAGCGAAGTGGAGGTGCACGGTTGGGGCTCGCGGGAGGAGGTGGTCGCGGCGCGGTGGCCCCTCCTAGAGGCGATGGCACGGGACAAGGCGGGACAGGGCGGCGGCGACGCAATCGACCTTGGTGGCGAGGTGGTGTTCGACATGGTGTTGCTGTGCTGCAGCGGCCGAGCACGTCGCGGCCACCGTGCCTCCGTCGTGGTGCCCCCTCCTAGTCCTCGTGGTCGCGGGTGCTGGAGGCGGCGGAGCGGGTCGGTTGGGCCCAATCTGGGCTACAGGGCCGTGACACAGTCCGTCTGCCGGGAGTTGGCCTGATGGCTGGGTGTGCAGTACGGCGACGAGATTGGAGGGAGCCTGGCGAGTTCTCATACGTGGAGGTGATGGTAG